AATAAATTCGGGTATTTTATTTTTTATATTACATTAATTATATTAATTTTATTAATTTTATTATATTATATATTAATTATTATTTTATTATTTGCTCCAATTTTGTATTACTTTTTATAATCAATTTCTACGAGACAAATACATATAAAGTAACTTATATAAATAACTTATAAAATAACTTTCCCAATCCTGTACATATCAATATGGCAATTTTATGCGATTCAGATAGATTTTATGTTATGCTTATTACCTTAAGAATATTCTCAATTCTTGTTTCTTGATTTTTTCTCGTTGCCTCAATAGTACATAATGACGGGTGATCTTATATTCTAATGTTGCTCCTGCTAAAGAGATAGGCACTCGTGTTTCTTTACAGAAATACAATGGTCGGTGGGTATCTATTTACGCCACCAACGCCTCACGTGGAAACGTTTCCATCATCTCGTCCGCTCCATGAGAGTTCTGTCGGAGCTTTGCGAGTCCGGATTCTTGTATCGCGCGTGTGTCCGACCGTTCCGCGAAAGAAGGTAATTACGAGTGGATTACGAGAAAGAAGGAGAACGAGAGAGAAAGAAACCATATTGGTATACGCAGTGGCCGCTAAACTAGTATGCTGCGATAATAGAACGAAGTATAATAGCCGCTACGCGATTATTGTCCTAATAAGCACAAGCGATGACGCAAGAAAGCCTTTCGCGCGCAAGAAATAAGAGGCCAAAGTCGAAGCTCGCATATTACGCGATTGACCGCGAGGTAGGACCGAAATGGGAGTCGGATATGATACAGTGCAAAAACACAGTTCTTTTTTCCTTTTATGACGCTCGTTGCATCGTTATAATTACATCGCCATTCGACGCCTGTCAACGTGCGCAAAGCAGTCGTGAGAAATCAATCGTGAGTATCCGTGCAGTCTCGTAATCGTAAATCGTATATAAATTGCGATCATTACACATTGCGTGTTAATGCGTGCTCTATAATCGCATGGATTGTTGATTAAACCGTGAGATATCTGCATAAAACATGCACTTCTCGTAAATCACGAGGAATCGAGACTAATCGTCGCTACTAATGAATTTCTAATTGCTCAGATTTCTTCCCACATTTTATATTTTTCCACATTCCATAATCTGATTCCATTTAAGAACTATTAAAAGTCTTATCATTTATATATAGATATAGAGTTAATTACTTTAGGCTCAAGATATTGCGGTTTGCTTGATACACATTTTGACGTTTACAGATCGATATGGAATCGCAAATGAACGCGTAATGAGATTATTATTTGGATCGCTTGCGATTACCGGGTGATGGGATGTATTTCTGGGCGAGGAGTGGCGATAAAGGACGTAAAACGAGGAGGGGTGGGAAAAGGGGGTGCATAATGGGATAATGTTCGCTCGATGGCCCTTTTACCCTTTAACGATGATTCCTCCGGTTTCCAGCAAATTGTGCGGAAGAGGGGTCCGGCCGACAGTCGACGAGACGAAGAGAAATACTCAGTTCATTTCGTACTTTGATAAAAATTTGACAGATTCTTCAGGTATTCCATGCTACTTTCACATTAGAAAAATGCACCTCCATAGACTAGCCAGCACTCATTCGTGTGTATTTGTATAAATATTACTTATTGTTAAATGCACGCGATCCTTCGATCCAGCTCAGACGAGGCGTAATGAGAGGGTCTCTGAAGCGTATTACTCGTGTTATTTAGCAGTAAATCAAAGTTGGAAACGTAAACCGTTATATCGTACGCTGGTTATCTAATCATCCCTCGTTTCGGGATTGCATCGAAATAAGTATGTTGGTTTTGATGGTATTGTAAAAATACAGACTTATTCGACAAAGACAAGATATGATTTTGTGATCTGCGAACGATTTGCCGTTCATGTTCACGAGATTGCATTCCGTTCTTAGGACGGTAGTCATATAGTCTGTTTTAAGATCGTCTTAACTCTCGAACAGCGTATATGGATCTTTCGTGTCCATGCTATTTCTAATAGTTCTTATTTCTCATATACATACCTGTGCACATGGCACACCCCTCACCCATGGAAAAAATCTTTGTGATGAGGGAATATATAGGGAAGCAACGGCGACAGGGAATCTCTGTGTTGTCGAGCAGCACAATCGCAGAGTTGCGTGAGAAATCAAGACCCATATCTATAGTCGGAAGGTGCCTTTTTCACAAATAAATGAATTTAGTTATTTTGCTATTTTTGTATTAAGTTATTTTATTGTGTCTATATTTTTTTGCTGTATTCACTGCGGGAAGCCGATATGTGAAGTCCACAGATCACCGATATGCAGCGAATAGGTACCATAAAAAAATTTAATATTCTGTAATCACTTTTTAAATATTTCTGTTTGCATTAAATAATTTTTGTACTTTAATAAAATCAAAAACTGTTTTTTCTTCAAAAATATTCTATTTGTCCACATTAAAAATATGACATATTCAGATGCTCAAATAATTGCACTTTTTTGCATCTGGCTCGTGTAATATTTTTTTTTGTAAATTATGATATCTGTACGAAAACATCCTACAATGACTTTTTTTGTATATATATATAGCAAAATTACAATTTTTATATCAAAACTGAATTATTTTCTTTTTCTGGTGCAGAAAGTAATTTTTATAATTTTTCTAAACACTTTTTCCAATGGTTGCATAACAGAATAATTTAGTAGAGACCTTAAAGAATATGTGTGAATTTTTTTCGGACACGAATGACCCATGTGTGCCGTCCAAAGATATCAAAAATAAGTGTGTTGTTCGAAAGTTAAGATACTAAGCTATCTGATTGGTTCATCTTAAGGCTGTACTTAAGACGGTCTTAAATATAAGATCCGACTATGAATACCGGTCTTAATCCCCTAATTAATTCGATGAATAGCTTGGACGAAATCTATAGGGGATGTAATCGCGGGAATTACATCGCCGAAGTATAAACGCTAAATTCACTTCAGCATTCTGATTTTCTCCGTGAAGATCGCGTTCCAATCCATTAGCAGAACCGTCGCAGAAGTCGAAGGCGGCGATTCGTTTTTGCGATATCTGGTACACAGGTTGCGTATCTAAGCGGCCGATCCTTCTCTCCTTTATTGGTCTCGTGAAATTGGTAATGTCGTGTACTTTCTCATTACGTATGCAAATACACGCACGCACGGGGCATTTAGCGTAGTTTCTCTTTACTCGCGCGCTATTACTACAAATGAGATAAGCGCTTAATGACTCCGACAGCTGCCTATCGGGCATAATAGAAGGGCGGAACGAACTGATATTAAGACGATGAGTGATGTTCAACGAATATAAATTACGATATCGTCTGGTCTCGAGAACTTCCTCCTCTCTACGGAATCGTCGGTAATATCATCGATGTTATAATAATTCAGACATATGAATGAGAAAAGATGATTTGATTATATTGGTTAACAATGACTTTGTTAAATAGTAATACATGATATGTATTTTCGATGCTGATTCTGAAAAAGAGATTAAAATTTATCTTATGGGTTCCAATTTTTTTTGTAATCGACATATTTCTTTTTAAAAACTTATATATTTTGCTAACAACTCGTTATGTGAGGTCTTTTTTCTTAATTAAAATAATTTATTTTTGTTTGTAACCTTTTACGATGAATATAGACTCGGTAAAATATAGTAGTTATTTTCTATGAATAATTTAATTATGTCGAAGTAGAAGAGATAAGTAAAGGAATTTTGAAATGCGTGTTACTCAAAAACTCTACTCTCCCCATAAATTCGATAAACAGATTGGAAAATAGCGTAAAAACGCTATACTATAAGAAACGTTCTAACAAATAAAAAAGGTGACATTTGATCAAAAATTTAATATTTACACGAACTTTATAAAAAAAGTGACACTATCGATGAATTATCGGAAAAGATCAACTAAAATAAAAATAACTAGAATAATAATAAATTATATTAAAATAAAATTTTTAAATGCATATTATTAAAAAAAATCCTTCTTTACTAAAAAAACTCTGCCTTATTAAAAAAAGACTCTGCTCATAAATTTAGTAAGTAGAAATTAGCGCAAAAAATACTGTGAGAACTCCGATCAGATCAATATAACATAAGAAAAAAAAAATTTTGTCGACCAATGATATTAAAAAAATTCCGTAGTAGCTTATATTAAAAACAAAAGTGGAAAAGAATAAAGGTTAATAGAATGGCAAGCACTTTGACGTAACATGTCAAAATATTAAAATATTGATAAGATAGGGCGAAGTTATTCCGTCAGTTTCAACTATAAAGTAATATAAAATTTACGACAGCAAACAATATCAAACATTATAACTTTGCAGTGACGCACTTACAACTACCTTATACTATTATGATTGCTTCTTGAGAGCACAAGCATGAACTTTACGTGTTTAGTATATGCTGTTCAGAAACATAAATATTATTGCGAAAAATAGGCGAAAAAGTCTATTCTTTACCCCCCCCTACGTATATATATTTAAATTACAATACTAAAGCGATACATTTCGACTTAACTGACAATGAGTTTGCTTCAGCTTCGCTAATACAAATCTAACAAATACGATACATCAAATTCTAATAATAATAAAAATCAAATGTGTAAATTGTTTGAAAAACATGTAGTTGAAAATATCTTTATCCTAAGCATGAATAAATTAAAAGAATCCATAACAATATATTATATAAATGGTTTGAAAAATTATGACATATCGGAATAGTAAAAGTTATGATAGTATTATGACAATTGATTACGTGTTAGGCGTATTTCAAGTAATTTTTTTTAGAAGTGGTAAAAATGTGTCCCTTTACATTACATGTCTCTTTAACGATTTTCTTGAAGATATCGATAGTCTTTTCAATTTAAGTACCTATATATCTACCAAGAATAGAAACACCGTAACGAATACGCATTGACGTAATAGCGACAGAATGTCGCCAGCAGTGTCCGAAACATCGCTTATCAATGCTTCTTTTTTTTTTCTTGATATAGTGGCTGGACCGTTTCCAAGGCGGATCGGTCATCCCTATCAGAACCGGACACCACCGAAGAGGAAGAAACCGAGAACGAGCTTTACCAGGCTGCAAATCGCGGAACTGGAAAAACGCTTTCACAAACAGAAATATCTGGCCTCCGCCGAGCGGGCGGCGTTGGCGAAGTCGTTAAAGATGACGGACGCGCAGGTGAAGACCTGGTTCCAAAACAGGCGAACGAAATGGAGGTGAGCTCTCGCGACATTTTCATTGGCAACGCTATACACATTTTACGCAGTTTTTGAGGAAATTCTCTCTTCATGGAGCATCTCTCTTTATCGGCATTTAGTTCGACCTTTACTAAAGACAATTTTTTTTGAGGAATATTGTTACCGTGGCGATTGAATTTTTTTAGAAGAAAATACGAGTCTCGAATTGCGCTCTCGGAATGTTAATAGCGGGTTAGCCGCGGCCTGACGCCTATATCTGTAAACGCATTGCCAGTCAAATGTATTGGAGTCTCTTCAAGATAAGAAAGGACGAAAACACGTCATTTAGATAAAAGAGGGCTCGTTCGTAGCGCGGGTCCCCGATACCGGGGGCGTCTTCCCCCCCCCCCCCCTCCTTCCTACGTTCCTTCGTCTCAGGATTTCTAAAATCGTTGTCATGCTACGAAGTCCTTTTGAATCGTTCTACGAAATGCCATGATAAAGCGGTAAACTTGCAGAGAAGCTTTCGGAGAGACGACTCGATAGTTCTTAAACGAGCTACGATTGTTAGATCTTTCCAAGACTCTATTTAGCCTTCGAATTCTAGTTTCTATTCTTACTTTGTAAGCGAGATGGCTTATTAAAGATTAAAATCGATACAACTTCGATAAGTTTCATTTTTAACGGTTCAATTATTACTGCGAAAAAGACTTCGTCGATTCTTCTCAAGAAAGATTAGAAATCAAAAATTCTTTTAATTTTAACGAACGCTATTTACAACACTTACAAAAGTGTTATCGCAGCGTGTAGCTTAAAACAACACTGGGCTTAAATATGAACATTGCTAATTTTATTTGCGATAATTTCATTTAAGTCTTGCAAATTCAGTTACAACTATTATTCAATTTGGATCCGCTTTTAGATATTAAAGCGATTTAAAATTCCAGTTTATAAATATGATTTTTTTATTTGTGTTTGTTGAAATGTGTGTTACGAATTGTACAATGGAAATAAATTCGCTTAACTCGTCGTTCTTTTTTAGAAACTTTTAACATTTGCATAACACCGACATTCTGACAAACATGAATCATATATTTTTATTTGATCTGTATTCTCCAAGATCAGGCGAAAGTTTCGGGACTTGCGTGTCGTACACATGTGGAGACGACCGAAAAGTTTTTTCGTCGTCGCGAGAGGAGAGTAGAAATTCAATTTGGAATCCGACGACACGCATTATCTGTCTCGGTACGCTCGGAAATGTTATCGCCGTGACAGGTACATTTGTCTAGAATGTTACGACGAGTTAACTTCACGCCGGAGTGACAAGTACATCATTTTTAATTAAAGACGCACGCACGACAGGGTAATCATGCGCGCGATCAATAACGCATCACCGCGCGCACGACAGACTTTTCCACTTCGATTTTTTTTTCTCTACATCATCATGGAAATCGAGAGAAAAAGAGGCAAGAGGGAGGAAGGGGAGGAAACTTTTTCGAAATTTTTTTATTTTTTGTTCCCTTTTGTTTGAAGATCTTACATTTTGTATAAAATTCGCGACGGTTCAAGTTTAGCCTTTTGCAAGTCTATGTGAAGTTGAACTAAATTTAAATACATTGCGATAGTCTATCGAATAATTTTTCAGGTTTTCATTTGAAAATAATTACCCAAGCAGAAACTAAACTAAACTAAACAAGTCACGATAACGTCGAAATGATGGAAAAATGACTTTTAATGATTATTTTGACATTATTTTAATATTACAATGACTAGTTGGCAATATTTTCGAAATTCCTCCATAAACTGGTAACAAAAATTCTTTGATTTACGTTAGATTAAATAAAATTGAGGATGAAATACTAGATCATCGTTCATTTGCGCGAAATAGTTTGGACCACAAAGGGTTAAGTGTGTCTGACAAATAAAATCGTAGGAATTCGTGGGGGCACGCATAAACGTCGCGACGTAAGCCTCGGTGTGACGCGGTGTGGTACGACGGTCCAGCGTGCAGCTGCGTTTAAAGTAACGAGATGACTGTAGGCAGAGATGAGATAACTTGGTTTCAATAATTCAGGTACCTAACAGCTTAGCCCTGTCCCGTACATAATGCAGTCTCTTCCCTCCCATCGCGCACATCGGGCACTCTCTCACCCTCTCCCTCCCCCTTTGCCTACCATCGGTCGCCTTCTTGCTTTGACTGCCAGTTCTCCGCGCGCCCCGTCACCTCTTTCAGCCCCCTACGCCCCTCCGCCGGGCGAGAGGCGCTTCTTGGCTTTTAAACTGTCAAACGCTCGAATCCGTTGGCTGAATCGTTTCGATCTCTGCCGGGCCCGACCGACCCCACCGATTCACCTCGTTAAACATTCATCGGTTACGGTGTAGGACTAGGCCGGTAACCGTTCAAACACGATTCGCAGACTCGACGCGATATATCGCGCGCGTAATGCAGTAGATAGCGCAAGAGGAATCAATCGGCACGTATTCGCGATTCGGTACGATTAGAGTTTCATCGATCATTCATTCCATTTACTATTATCTTATTGGGGCTGATGTTCATTCAAATTGTTTCGCGGAAAAGCGATACATATATAAAAATAATCCACGCTTAAGATTAGAAACAGGACCGTCTATACGAATACATCGTAACTAAATGAGCGGATATAACTATAACGTTATAGATGCATAAAAATAATGTTATATAATACAGAAGGCACAACGAATATGCAACTGTCAGCTGTTAATAAAATGTAAATAATAATAAAAATTACAAGATGCAATTGATTAATTAGAAAGAAAGAATCGCGAGGGTGTGCTTTATTCCGTACGCGTTGCGTTGGGGGTCTGAGCGTGCGCTGAAGTATAAAGATAAGAGTAATGTGTCCCAGGTTGCGAGAGAATACGGTTATGCCGGCCGCAGCGAATAGGGCGAGGCTGTGTCGGGGCTGCAAAATGTAATCGGCACGGCGCCGTCAATTATTAATCGCTAACCGCGTTAATTACTTGCAGCGGCGTAGGTGCACCTGTCACTGCAGCAATGGCGTAGCCGCAATGGATTCCGGAGACGGGCGCGGACGAGCGAGATTCAATTGCCCTAATAAAAGCTAATAAAAGTGACAACGCGCTAAATCTTGCCCGTTTTCTACTCCGTTCCCGCCTCACCATTTCGCGGTAATGTCCGATGATCTTAATGACGCTTAATTCCAGACTTATTATTTGAACTGTGATTTGTTCGCGTTACGATAATACAAGGATGAAGAAAATCTATATATGACAGGGAAGGTTGCTCTCAATTTCCTTAAACTGCTCCTATTCCAGATAATTGTTATAATTTTTTAATATTATATCTGACATTTATGGTGAAATACATTCAAAACTCGCACACTTTAAACGATTTTAATAAAATAATTAAAATTGATATTTTATTTTTATTTGACCACTTTTTCGTAACTGCATTCTTTTTTCTAATACTATATTATTTTTTATTAGCTAGAATTTGCACCCAAAATTTGCATCCAAAATTAGTATGCTACCTTTTTGCGTTGTTTTTAATAATATAGGCCAGCTTTTCTACAATTCTTGATTTTAAATGTGTTAAAATTTACATATTTTATATTGAAAAATTTTCTATTTTCATCTGGAAAAGTCAGGGAATTTTTAAATTTATTTTCTGTAACGACCCTGTATAAATAAAGAATTTCTGTATTAGATTTTTTTCTAGAAATTATCCGCATCTTTCCACTCATTTGAATATGTAAGCACCATTTTCATCGTGAACTCGTTTAAGAGATAAAGCGATTCGTTTTTTGCTTAGTAGTTGCTCGTTAAGAAGATCAATCTGACGATAAACTATGGGAGTTACAAACGTTGAAATGGGTCGAGGGAATCGGAAAATAAATTTCGAAGGCGAGCGATCGTCGGCGGCACCGGGTAGCTCGTTTACTCGTACATCGGGTGAAGAAAATTACAGGAAGTTGTTGAGCCGCGTTGCTCAACTCGCGGCCAAAAAGGCGGGCAAAAAGAGGGTCAACGAGATAGTACCTGCGCCGCGATAGGCCGGAACGCGGTGTAATTCGTGAGGAGGACACGAGCGCTCGCCACCGGTCTTTAGAAGGTCCACGAGCATTACGCCAGAAGGAACCAGTTTTAGGAAATTATAACGATCACGACGCAGGAAAACATTGGGATCAAGTCGAATTCAACCGGTCTTACCCCGCACGCCCAGTTCCCGATTCATCCTGTCACGGAAGCACGTTGATGAGAAACCGCGACAGTCGAAACTGTGCCTGGACTAATCTCGGGATAGAAACTTTTAGTGATTTAAAAGAAACGTTATTATCAATGGACGCAAAATTTAGAAATACGATTCTAACAAATGATGTTGTATCTAAGATACCATGGGTATTTGTAATCAGTTCTTATTTCATAACTGTCTTAACCCTTCGATACCATTCCATACCGTTTTGTAACGTACTTATACTTTTTTTCAATCAGATATTGAGGAATATAATAAGAAAATTTATAAAATGGTTGGATACAACAGGGCAATAGGAGTCAAGCACGGTAATTCTTGTGCAAACCAAACGGTTAACAAAACAACTTTATTAATCATTAATCCGTTTACATGTTTCGGCTCACTTTTGAACTATTCTCAAAGACAGTATGATGTTGTAATTAAAAAAAATATTTTTTTATTACAAACTAATTCATTTCAATGAGCCACCTCCACCTATTAACGGAAGCTATAATATAAAAATGAACTCTAATAACAATCTAAAATGTATTACAATTATTAAAAGGTAAATTTTTTGGAAGCAAAAACGATTTATTGTAAAACAATAGAAGGTAGCTCACTAAAACAAAAATTCACCACATCGCAAACACTTAAATTCTATAGGTTTAATCAAAAACTAGTCTTTGACTTTGATTCAGCGAATCAGTGTCAATTATGTTGAAATTAATGGATAACTTTTAATACACTTAGAACGTTAAAAGAAAAAGAAAAAAGAAGGAAAGAAAACTCTGATATTAATTACAGTCCAGACGGACATTAAAACCAAAACTGAATTTTTAATAATTTAATCTTAATGTAACGATGAATGTACTCTGATTAAATACTAGTGCCCTGTTGTATCCAATCATTTTGTATCATTAAGGAGTCTTTAGGAATTAATTTATATTTAAGAAAATTTATATATCTTTATTCATAGCAAAGTTCAAGAGATTCAAGAAACCTCGGATATTGCCATACTAAGAATGGCACCGGTAACGTAATGTCTTAACCCATTTCTTCACTCCATCTAATTAGAAATATGGATTTTTCAATTTTTTTTATGAAGAAAAAAATTAAAAGGTATTGTCTTGTAAAAGGTAGAAAGAAAGAGATTAAGATGCTTAGTTTGTGGTTGGTTTATGACATCTTATGACTATACTTAAGACGATTTTAAATATATATAAGAATCGACTATATGAATACCAGGCATGAATTCGCTATTCGCCGCTGAGCGTTCGTGCGCGCAAACTCTATCGACCTTCCCAAACGAGTCGGCCATTTTGCGGCGTTCTAATAGACTTAAGCTAGAAAACAGATATCACGTGGGTCATTCAGTGGCGCAAGGTGGACTCCGCTCCACTTTGTGATGAATCGAATTAGCTTTATTACATCCGTCTTCTGTTTTCCGCCTAACAACAGTCACTCTATTTTCACCGTCCTTTACCTCGTCTCGTTTCCTCACCAAACTTGCTCCTTCATACAAGTCGTCCTTAGTGCGATCCTGATGGTGCGGTGAACGGCGTACAGTTGAGAACTTCGGTTATACGATAGTCGATTTAACTATATGTAGACTACCGTGTCAAAAGCCAGGAAGTTTCCTCGACAAGCTGCACCCTTAGATGTATAAACTTGTGCGACTATGGAAAACGCGATTTCAGGGCTGACGACACGTCAAACGTCTTTAATGAGAAGGTATCCCTACTGAAAAAAATCATGTCACAACGTTACATGATGAAATCATGTAATTGAAACATATTACATGATATTAAAAATAATTTCATCTATCATGTGATTTTATAGTTACCGAATTTTAAAGAATTAAATGATAGAAATAGAAGAAAAAAAGAATATATCATGTGATTTTTCAAATTATGTAATTTTAAAAAATTACGTACTAATTTGGAATAATCCGTAGTTTACATGTTTTAATTACATGATTTCATCACGCAACTGTGTGACGTGATTTTTTTCAGTAGGGCTAACTAAAAATGCGAGGAAGTACAAAAGTGCAATTTTCTGTTAAATGATTTTTTTCGCACTTAAATTGCCGCATGTAATTCAGTCCCAAGCGAATGATTAATTCGCAACAACACCGCTGGATTCTGTTGCAGGAGACAAACAGCGGAGGAAAGAGAAGCCGAGAGGCAAGCTGCGAATCGACTGATGCTGTCCCTGCAAGCCGAGGCCCTCGGCAAGGTGGCATACCCGACGTCGGTATCTGGGCACCCGGGCAGCACCCCGGTGTCCAGTTTGGACAGGCAGCAAGCATCGACGACGACTCTGACCCATCCGGTCGGCCAATGGGCTTCCCCTTACGGTCCACCGCAGCCTCTAACCGAGCCGATTTGCTGAAGTGCGACGACGATCCGAGAGACTCTCGTCAAGTGAATTCGTCTTATCGTCTTATCCTCCTCGTTCCTCTCTGCGTCTAGAATCAGAAGTCGGATCTACATTTTGTTTTTTCTTTGTTTTTAAATTTGTTTTACGATAAATAAGCGAACGAGAAAATACTCATTCATCCACCGATCATGAATCATGAAATAATAACAGCAGAGAATTTTCTTTGTTTTTTTAAGGATAGTTACGGATTGTAGGCTATTAGCATCGCCTTCCTTCTGCCTTACGATATTCAGGCGACCACCAAACACGAACGTCCTAAAGAGCACCGCGAAATCGATTGTACATTGCCTTACAACATCACATACTCGAAGCTGTATCACTTATTAGCCACGACTCGTGATTTTGCCATATAATTGTCACGGTTTGAGCAGTTTAACTAGCGCGGTACGATCGCGCGCGAGGCACGATAATCGTCGTGAATTTATCATGTACGAACAATCGGGTCGCATTAAAAGCGTACGTTTCTTCTCTCGAAGCGAGGATTATCGCAATTTGCCTCGATTGACGCGACATTATCGACATGTACGTGTCTCGACCCGATGAAATAGAGTCGCGGAGATGAGTGTCCCTCCAAAACGTTTATTTCCAGATCGCGAACGGGCCGGACGTTCGATAATGTCTTCTCATGCTGAGCGGTTCAACTTTTCCTAAAGAGAAGCTGTACGTTTTCCCGCGTTATGCATCGTCGAGAAATCATCGATCGCACAAATGAAGTCGCAACAAAGTCCAAGATCCGTATTCACATCCTCATTTAACGTCGCAATTAAGAAATAGCCGGGTAAGTTTTAAATTTTACGTTGCATCAGTGAATGACTTGATTGGAAAACGTGACTGCTAAGGAATGCGATTTTTTTACTTTCTTTCATCGAATTAGGTATCTTTTCATTAGATGTGAATGCGGACTTAACGGAACAGCTGACGTGACATATCCGTGTACATACTAGACGCCATAGTTGTAATTAGACATTATACTTGTACGATATATGAAATACTTGTATACGCAGAAGCGCTGTCGTGCCAACATACCGACAGCGTATGTTCTCTTTGATTGTTAGATACGTCCTGTATATATATATATTATTTCATTGCTGTGACGCAGCAGAATGCAATCAAGATTATATATCCCGGAATACTATTATTATATATATATATATATATACACTGCTAAAAAAATAAACCATACATACCGTACACTACGATCGTCGTCGTCATCGTCGTCGTCGTATAATTAGGTATGTTTTAAGTTAAGTTCGGTAATTATTATTATAGTGAACGATGTGATGTTATGTAAGTACGTGTAACGTTGTATATACGAGAAAACAATTGAAATGCATATAAAATGATTTAACTGCTACTCGTTCCTCGCTATCTAACCATACATCCTTGCCAAGAATCCGACTGTGCCGACGGGTTGCGTGGGAAGAGCACGGAATTACAGCAGAAACAATTAGCAACAACGTCAGTAATAATTTCATTAACTTAATAAGCAACGATCCGTTCTTTGATCTGTGGATAATTAAAGATTTTAATGTTTCCTTTACACAGGTATCTCGAACGTCATCGCGTTGATTGTAATGAACTTTATTTGACGTAAAAGCGATTGTGTCTAAAGCTTAAAAATATAAAAAAGAGACGGAATAATTCAACTCTCGATTAATAATTTAATGAATTTCACGGCGCAAGTAATTCCTTTTTGTTATATTTCACAGCATACGGATTAGCGTGTGTCTTTATAGAGAAAGATTTTTATAATATATAAGAATATGATTTGCTATCTTAATCGTACAAAATGTTTCTGTCGCTTTTAGAAAATGTATTATATAGAAGTAACTATAAATTACTATAGAAAAATTAAAAAGAGATTATTTAATAATATGAATAAACTAATATTATGGTAAAAATATTTTAATTGCAATGACAATTTTTAATATCTTAAAATTATCAAAATATTTTTAGACGCAAACGTACGATTTTATATATAAATCAATTTTTATAATGACATTCTCTTGTTCAAGAGGATATTCAAAAATAAAGTAATAACGTTAAAAGTCAATAATTTCCGAGACATTTCATACCTCATTTAAATATATTCTGACATCAAATGGATAGAACATCTAGTAAAATATGTTTTTATTACAATTTTATCGTAATTTTTATGCATGAAATGAGTTTTAATACTGCTATATTTATGCAAATGCAGCAAAAGCAGCATCTGGAATGTGCAATTATTTTTTCTTTTTAAACATATATATTTTCTTTTACATCAATTGATTCTCTCATTATTGTAAACAATGTCACTCTGCTATACTCCAACGTGAAATGGAATGGAAATCTCATAGAACGTAATCATATCCTTTGATCTTGATTTATCTTAATATTTTTATAAAATGATAAGTTATAATCATTTGAGATGATCCTACATCGACATAGACGTTCATACACACTCAGACATGCATCTGGAATCTGTTGTGTTCTTGTTAAACGCAATTATATGTTTTCTTCCACATCAATCGATTCATCTCATTATTTTGTATAATGTCATTCGTACGCGTGCATTTTGCAGCAAATACGCGGAACGAGGTACAACGTTTCATTTCCTTCGATGAAATCGGTATACTTTGCAAATTGCGCCGTTTAAGAAATACGGGGAAAGCATCGGAATGGGTTGTCATAACGAGAACTCATTACTTCATGTCAGTGCGCCGCGTAATGCCTATATCTTCTTTGGAAACTTGATTTCCGTTATTTTTCTGTTCCAAACGACTACCTTGTCACACGATCATAATATTTTGATCTTTCGTATCCGTGTAAAAGGCGAATAGCAGCCAGTTTTCCTATTCCTTTTTTTTCCCCCCCTTTCTGTCACACCTCTTTCCCCTAACAACGTCCGTCAAAGACGCGAGTCCTTTTTCTCCGATCGCCTTAATCAGTGTCTTTTCTCATGGAATTATCCCGCTTCACCTAGAGCTCCCTGTACCGGATGTGGCTGCGTTTACTGCCTATAATTGCAGAGGAGATGCCGCGCGCCGTCCCGCCCAATTATTTGGAGACAAATACCCTCCGCCACCGGGAACGAAGGTCCCGAACACTTCGTGTAGGACTCGTCTCCGTAGATCACAATGAATCTATGTGATACGCGATTTCAGAATACTTAAAAAATTGTATTATTAGTTGATTTATGTAGGTATCTTGGAAATATATACCTAAATAATATTATTTAAACAAATATATAAAATAAGGCTCGAAAGAATCTATTATTGAAAAAAGCCCATCAGAGCCTGCATTGGTTGTTCGGATGCACAGAAAACTCTTTATTTTGGTGCGAATGTAACAAATTAAACGTAAAATAAATATTATTTAACTTTCAAAACGTCGTTCCCTGACTTTGTACGGATATTATTGTTTAAAAAGTTAATAATATTGGACATTGAAAAAGATATCATTACGTTACTTTATATAACGATAGGAATTAACGTGCTTATCGGTCACAATTGATCACAGGTGAATAATTGAATCTTTATCCCAGACAACACGCGTGTCCAAAATCAGGACATAGGATCTCTTAAAGACGTCTGAAAGACAGCTTAAACATTTTTTTCAAACAGGTCTTTAAAACGTTTTCTATCTCGATTTTAGACTTTGTGTTGTTTGGGATAACGATTCAATTATTCACCTGTACTCAATCGTGATTTATCTATATTTTATCTAAGAATGATAAATTAAGATAACGACTTTGAAAATACAGACCGATATGTACATGTCTCTAAAAGAGCACACTTGACGGAAGTATTCCAAACGTTTCCGCCGTTTAGCGCAGAAATCTGCTGAGTGAACCGTTTCCGACAGGTATACCCCGAACAGGTACAACACCATCGACTGAGAGGCGCGTCATCGGCGCCCTGTAATCTTGTCTCTCTAGCAGAGACCTTTTCCTGCGGTATTTCTAGTTTTTAACGTAGACACCGCGTGGTGGACCGGAGACGAAAGGGGAGATGACCAATTACGAGGACTCCGAGTATCAAGACGTCCAAGCGGCTCTATTGAATCCCACACTCGAAACTCCACACGCCGCCAACGAGTCGTTGACCGCGACGTGGATGTTGAAAAAAAGATAGAGGCAGATGAATGAAAAATTAAAATTACCAAAAGTTCAGTTTAAAAGTATTACTATCTGATGTACGCATTCGCGCGTATGACTGTTAACGTTGATGTGTAAAACGCTCTTTTCTCAAGTAAAATCGTATCGATAATAAGGAGTTTTTGTGAATCTGGATACGGTGAACGCTAAAGTCACGTTATCCTTTTCTTAAACAGTTGTTAAGAAGCAGCTAACCTTAGTGTTCACCGTATTTGAATCAACGGTGTTGCGAAAACTCCCTAATGACATAGAAAAAGTACTCGAAACAATTTCTACCCCATTCTGCGGAAAATCTTCGCGTTTTGGAAAATATACTCTTCTCTCTCTCTTTCTCTCTTTCTCTCTACTGATTAACTCGCAGGAAATTCAAACATCTTCATCATTTAACATCGCTTTACGTTACGCTAACGAAGTGTATCCAGTCGTTCCGTCCCGAGTGAAACGTGTAAATAATACCGTTTTTCGAGAAAATTGTAAGTCCCAGGTGCCGGCGCGCGGATTACCGTGTAATCTCGCGAGTCACGCGCAAATCGACGCGGAATTATGCAAATTATTGATGCCGTTTACTACTCATTGCCCTCCCCGACCGGATCGGCGCGCACCCTGGAAATTAATCTACGCTCATGCACACGCTCGGCACGCACACGCCACCCCTCGTATGGCGCACAGCGTCGTTTCACATGGCCACCAAGCCGCGTAGAAAGGGAGACGTAGCTCGAATTAAAAACTAATCCAATATTAACTTTTCTTCCATGCATCTCTCGTCCCCCCCTCGTCCCGACTGTTTCTTCCTGAACCAGTACGTTCCTCTGTGTGAAGTTCCATTTAAACCGGAAACACAATGAAAAGCACAGGCAGTAGAAACAAGAAACAACAAACTTCGGTCTATC